CTTACGTGTTCGTCCAAAGAGTACGTCAACTCTCCGTCGTCGTATAGAACGAACCACCTCCGCTGCCATCTCTGAAACAAAAGCAACGCACCAGTCAGATACATTTTAAGGTGGTCTTAATAAAATAAGTGCACGAATTCCAACGCTTCACCACTTTATACTAAAGTAAATGTTTTCAACTGACTTGAAAAATGCGGAAGTTCTTCGTATGTATGTTTTGTCAAATATTGTTAACAAACAATACAACTTAAACACTTACAGCAAATAAACGTGGTAAAAAGTTAAACGTAGGAATAAATCGAGTATAAGCAAAATTTGTACTAATATTTGGGTATACTCAGTTTATTCCTAAGTTTAACTTTATACCGCATTCGTTTGTAAGGCTGATTTGTCTAACGAAGACTTATTGGCTACAAGTGGAAATCTCTAGTCCGTAGACGACTAAGTATAAAATTAATAAAATAAAAACGTACAATACAAATCTGGTCAATACATACGGTGGTACAAACACAAATCTAGAATGAATTTAGCATACAAACGAGGCGAAACAATGAAATTACGCCGACGACGTTCATTATGCGTTGGAGACGCTGATTACTGTAAATGCTTTGGAGTTCAGGCGGAGACGCTCGCGGCGGCCATCAAGCTATAAAAAGACAAGAGTAATCGCGACATATGGCATGTGGGTTCCGTAATATTATGATTTTAAATTTAATGTTATGAATAGATCCTTCTAGAAGAATTAAAGAGGTTGGAAGACTGCATATAAGAAAAAAAGAGAAGGAACTGTTGTGAGCAAATTTGTCACTATATGAATTAAATGAAGATGTTTTTTAAAATATCTCGATATTATCACAGTCAAGTCAGGTTGCAAAATAAAAATTAACTTTTAAATGCTTTGTGTTTTTTGCAATTTGGCATTACTACATTGCAATTTTAATATACTTTTTTTTTTCTTAGAATACTATACGTTATGGATTTAACGATGGTTACCATTTATAAAAAATATTCGGTATTTTATTGGAGAAACGGAACCTTAAAACCGGAGACACTTGTTGCCCTATTTTCATGTTTGCAGTCAGACATTCATCATGGACATGACAAATGTACATTTACAATGACACAATATTACATAATGTTTATAAATAATACGAAATTGCATTATAGTTTTTAATTGTACCACATTAGAGATGGTTCTTGTAGCAACACTAATAATTGTCGTCAGCCGCCTACATTGTAAACAGTCATTAAATGTGTCGATAAGTAAATAGATCAGTTCTAGAAATCAAAAGAAGGCGATGTAATTAATAAATGTGCAGTAAGTGTAACTCTTAGCTACGAAACGTTGCTTTAATTTAGTTCTTGTTGCTAATTTCGTAAATGCGCAAAAACGTAGTTTGCAATAGAGCGTCCGCCGGCTGATGTCGGTGGCGTGGTGCCGTGGGAAACGCAAATGTACAAATCACATAATTGCACTCAATTAAAAGGGTAAAAATTGCCGCCGGCATTTGGCATTTAGATTTGCAGTTACAACTTTCGAAAATTCAATGGCGTATAAAAATCTGACATCAAAAATACATGCAATCTTAGAAGCATATGATGTAGCCAGGGTCTTCTTGACTTCAATTTACAGCTGGTTCTACGAGTAGTAATCTATCTTGCGTTTTACTCCACGATGTAATAAAAAGGATGTTGTGTTGGAACTAGACACATCATAGATAATTACTGCAGATAGTGATGTGCTAAAGACCATTGTAATTGTCCTTTCTAAGCAGTTTATACAGTCACTGACACCGCAATAGATGCGATCTACACGCAAAGCCACGGTATCAGCTAACCTTCTAATACGTTAATTGGAGTGGCATTAATTGTTGCCCGCTGGTGGTGAGGCTCGTGTCCCGATAGCCGTCTCACTCGCTCCAGTGAAACTCGACATCACACTGTCCTTATCAACTAGATTCTATGCAACAAGGTGTCACCGACTTCGTATAATTGCAAATAATTGACCTAGACGATATTTGTCACGCTTATAATGGAGGCGATTGCAAAAGTGATTCATTAAAAAAAGCATTCAAAGATGAAACAAAATATGAGAAAATAATTTCGGTTTCGGTACAGAAAATCTTAAGCCTATTTGGCAATTGAAATTTCAGAAAGCAATTTTCACTACATCCTTCTGATAACATTTATAATTAACTGCAAACTTATAAATCGCAATTCCTCGGTATCTCGATTGTTAAGAAGTTGGGTCAAGAAGTTAATGGCAATATAGATTTCCCCTGCTTAAGCCGGTTGTAATTATTTGCGATACTAGATACGTAGCAAGCGCTGGCCAATCGGTTAACAATTTCGCAAGATTTACACCGCAAAGGCAACACGATAAAGCTATTAGCGAGTAGAGAGGCACACAGAAAAACGTATGACTATATTAGGGTAGAAAGGTACAGCGACGAAGTGACTGAATTACAGATTGTCCTGATACCGACGCGCAAGGAGATCGCGCGTCGCTTCGACACTGCCAGGGCTTTGGTATTATTTCAATTGGTGATATTCAGATTTCTTAGATATTGTGACCATTCTGTATAAAATCTTGATTTACATTTCTCTACTGATTCATATTTTATGTACAGTAGTAAATCCACTTATTATTTGTTAATACTCTATTCGCTACAAACATTTATGTGTCCTTTTACACTGAATGATTTTCTGTTCATTTAATTTTCCTTGTTTCTATTCGTTCCTATAAATCAATAAAGCTCTCTACAGTCTAAAGTTACAATTTGAGGCTATCCGTTTACGTTATTCTGATCTTGTTCCTGCTTCTATTGTATTAGGTGTCACTTTTGGCAACCCTAATGAAGGTTCCCATAAATCGGTTACGATTTAGCATCGTCGATAAAGTAACCGTTCATGTTGAACTAGTTAGGGCTGCTCCCGTCTTAGAAATAACTCAAATGCCGGCTATCTCTCAGCTGGTCGACAATACTACGATAAATTTGTTGGTCGTGATGCCGCGCAATCTGCACTGCGGAGAGAATTGGCAGATGATTCGTCGGCGAGTTTCGTTTGTAATGCTGAAGTTAGTAAAGAACGATCACGGAACAGAAATGTTTTCAATTTCCATGAATTTGAATTTAACATTAAGATGTTTTCATTGAGTATAAATTATGTACATGTGTAAATAGAAAGCTAGGTAGGCAAACTAGCCTGTCTTGCAGGTCGTGTGGGCTACGTTGATAGGGAATTAGAAATTAGTAATAAATAGTTGTTGGCATCGAGGACAATCGGACAAACCTCTCTGAGGCTTCATTTATCTAACTCTGTCATTGTGGAAACGCTTTGACTAGTATTTTACAAGGCGGTAGAAATTGTGAGGGCTTGCCTATTTACAGACCAGTCTTGGAGGATTTATTCAAATGATATAAGGAGGTTGTTGAGAGAAGCTAATCGATTAGCAATTAAGCATTTGAAATGTTGAATACGTGTTTGTAAAATACAAAACTAGAAGTATCGTTCTAGGCTTATGTTAGTCGTTGACTTGTTTAGGATCAGTGTTTTTACAGGTCAGACAACTAATAACTTCATACTTTAAGAATGAACTTGCGAACTAAACTTGTGCGGTGCTTTCATGGAACATTTATCCAGAAAAAAAGATTTCAATGGGAAAATACTTGGTCACGATACTCAATTAAGCTAGAGAAAATCTCCGTGAAGATACCGTTGTGATTATTTAGTGAACATAATTGCTAGTGCCGATTAAAATTTAGCCACAAAAGGCAATAAAGGCCACTCCTAACGCATTCCTATATCCGCAGCCGTGGACAAGCGTCGCAGATGGTTGTTAGTTGGGGAAAGTCGGTCGGCCAGGTAATGGGGCGCGGTCGACGATGCTGTGCGCGATAAGATGCCTGTTATCTGTGCCTGCGCCTGCGCCGGCAGCGCGACACAGCCCGACAATGTCCGGACATGTCCGGCGACATCGGCCGACAGTGTCCGGACTTGTCCACCGCTTGTACCCTTCTCAGAGTGAAAATGCACGCCGAATATTATTTCCCTTGGTGTATGTAAATTTGGAGAGGTGTCAAGTACACGAATTAGGTTCGATGTTTTAGAAATATTTTGTATGAATTTCCTGTAGCATTTACTCCACAGTTGTGCTTCAATGTATATAGCTGATAATTAATTAAACTAAATATCTGAATGATCAATATGCAGTTACAAGAAACGGATGCTGAGGCACGTGCCTCTCGCAGGCGATCAGATCGCGCTCGCAACCGTAGCTTCAGTGATGGCGGCGTGTGATTAGGCGAATTCCCCTAATGATATGTAGACCATTGCTGCTCGCGCCTTTGCTATTCAGATACACTTCCGCCGGTGCCTTTTTCGTCTAGCAAGCGTTGTTTTTTTCAAACAATCGTCAATTAGTGCCAATGATGTATAGATATTTTTGCCAGTTGTTACTCTTAATGATGTATTCTTTTATGGCGCTGATGGGATCTCAATTGTTAGGAGGCTTATGTAAGTTTGTTAGAGGTCTAATATAGTTTTAAAGAACAGTCTACTTTATTATAAACCATTAATGGTGATTGTTTTTTACTTACGAAGCCTCGTATCTATGTTATGTTGTAGTAATGAAGGCTTACTCAGTGATAAGGAAAGTGCACGTGCGATATCCATGTTACAAACAGTGTAAGCGGTTATGTCATAAATTGTGCAATACGCACGTGGCGCATTGTTTCAGGCGTTCCGCTGCCCGCTGCTAGCTCGAACACCATGCCAAAGACGACATGCCAAGATGTTTTAATTTTTGTTTCTACAGAGTTGCACAGAATCTCTAGTCTGAGACTTAAATCAAGTCTTGCTTTGTAGAAATTTTCTTCCGTTTTTCTTCGATTCGCGTTGAAAACTATGCCAAAACACATCCAATAAAAGTGTCATTGATGGTGAAACTTCAATAAATTTACAGCGTGAATAAAAGTGAATACCTCGCATTGTGTTGCGTTTCTATTCCCATTGTAACGGTATCAGATAAAAATCGACAAACAATTAACCGGCAATACGTAAACTCTCA